GGGTCCCCACTCTCAGCCCTCTCCTGAGCCTCCTGGATTTCTCCCCACCCCGAACCCTCGTGGCCTGGACCCCGAGTCTGCGTCTCTCTGTTTTGTCCTCCTATTGCCCAGAAGCGCTCAGCACCGAGCCCGGCACGTGGTGACTTGTCTAACACTGAAACAACGGGGTGGCAGGAGGGCGGCCGCGTGCCCGGTTAGGCAAGAGGGTTCTGGGGGCCCAAAGTCTGATTGCATATTCCCTCTCGGCCCCTCGGTGACTCTGTGTTGGGCCGAGTTCTTTAGCCTCTTCACCCACAGCAGGACGACGGCACAAAAGTGGTGGATGTGGCCCCCGAAGTCACAGAACGGATGCAGCCACCCTAGTTCTCAGCAGGGATGCAGCCCCCTGAGGTCCCTTCATGCATGTAGTCCCCCGAATTCATGGCACTGATGTGGACCCCCAAAGTTCAGGCACGGACAGAGCCCCCCGAGGTCCCAGCACTGACATAGCCCCCCGAAGTCCCAGCACAGACATGGACCCCCAAGGTCCCAGCACTGACATAGCCCCCCGAGGTCCCAGCACTGACATAGCCCCCCGAGGTCCCAGCACAGACGTGGACCCCCAAGGTCCCAGCACAGACATGGACCCCCAAGGTCCCAGCACTGACATAGCCCCCCAAGGGCCCAGCACTGATGTGGACCCTGAGGTCCCAGCACAGACATAGCCCCCCGAGGTCCCAGCACAGACATAGCCCCCCGAGGGCCCAGCACTGATGTGGACCCTGAGGTCCCAGCACAGACATAGCCCCCCGAGGGCCCAGCCCAGACGTGGCCCCCTGAGGTCCCAGCACAGATATAGCACCTTGAGGTCTCGGCACGGATGTGGTCACCAAAATCCCCTGAGGCCCCAGCACGGACACAGCCACCCGAGATCTCAGCACAGACGTGGCCCCCTGAGGTGCAAACACAGACGTGGTCAACGACACACCCAGAGGTCCCAGCACCGACGTAGCCACCCGAGGTCCAAACATGGATGTGGCCCCCCGAGATCCCAGCAAGGATGTGGTCACCAACATCCCCCGAGGTCCCCGCACAGACCTAGCCACTCGAGGTCCCCAAGGTCCCAGCCGGGCTCAGAAGCACACACAGGGCAGCAAACCCAATCGGTTTCTCGTCAGGGAAGGCAGCCCCCACAGCCATGCATCCGTCCATCTGTGCATCTGGTG